GCTTAGGGACATGGTTTAGTGGGCATGGTGGTGTTGGGTTGACGGTTGGACTCGATGATCTTGGAGGTCTCTTCCAACCTTAATGATTCTATGATTCTATGATTCTAATATAAAAATATTCAAAAGAAAGCATCCATAAAATCAAAAATGACATTTTGGTTCAATAACCTGATATTACATTTATTTCTGAAATGGTAAATTCTGTAACAGAGCTTTTTCCCATAGAAGTTTTTACTGAACTGAACTTGCTTTTATTTTTAAACATTTTAAATGCTCTCTTCATTTAGTGCTTTTGGGAACTGTTGGAAAAAAGATTTTCCTCTTCCAGGCTGATAACACATTTTTGCAAACTTCGCTGGGAATGTCATTGAAATCCAAGCCAGTCCTCAGGGACTCAGAGAAAGGCGCTCCATCAGAAAGTTTGATGAGGCAGCGAATGAAAAAACTCAGAAGTTATTTAGATTGGAGTAATTTTTTTTTGAGTTGGCAAAGGGAAAATAGCCTGCTGAAGTCATGTCATCTGTAATTTGGTAAGTTATTTATTTTCTCTTAATCCTTTTCGAAGTATCAACATTTCCAGTACATTGGCTTGATTGGCAGAGGTGTTGTATGACTTGGGATAAACCCCAGTAAAACTTTTAATTCCTATCTGAGATGCTCCTAGTTTTGAAGGAGTTTCCCTCAGCTGAAAACATCCATGCATTAGCAACATCATCACATGCCTATTACCTCTTAACGTCACAGGAAGTCAAAACTTCAGAGGGACAGACAACAACATTCTTTAGTGCATATGTCTGCACCTGACTTCATTTTAATCTCAGTAACTGATCTGAAAGAAACCCTAAGTCAGGGGAAAAAACGCTCAACTAATTGAGTAATTAAGTTTACTAATTGAGTAAAAAGTATATTATGATTTTCAAAAGTAACAGACATGACAAAAGGTAGCTCATAAAAGACTGCAGGACCACACCACATCATTATAGGCAGAACCATCTGCTTAAGATAATAGGAAGTACTATTTGAAATCTAACACTTCAATAAACTGTACAGCTATTCCACATTTTTCAGCTTACCATTTTGTATTCTTTCCAGCTTTTTTGAAAATCCAGACTCCCATCTTCTCGGTGCTGTATAACTGTCCATCCTCCTCCAGCAATTTCCATATTGCAAAAGACCTATGCAGTAATAAAAAAAAAACCAAAACCAATAAAACAAACTTGCATTGGAATCCTGTCATCTTAGGAGGAAAATGTATTTGTGAATAACGGAACTAAGGAAGCCTGTTTTCAGATGGATTCATGCCGTATACCCTCAATGGTATCCTCAATCGCTTGATTACAACTGGAGCTCTCAGTGTAATTATCCCAGTAATGTCTCCTTTCAGCACATTACCCAAAAACATCTGCCCATCATCCCATTCTGCATCCTCAGCTTTTCTCTTCACATTCCCTCCATGCTCCTTTTCTATTTTCTCTGCGGTGCCCCTGAAATCACTCCCTTCCTCTTAACAAACGAGTATTTTATTCAGTGATAATAATGTTTTCTATAGCTTTTAGCAGAGTGTCATTCTGTCTAAGAAAGAATCTTCAGGAATTCTTACAGAAAATACCCATTCAAGTAGCCCAAAATATAGCACAGATGAGATTATTCTATTTTGATTTGTATTGTAATGTTACCTACAGTGTGCCAGGCAGTGTCCCAAAACAGAAATAGTTGATCTCAGTCTAAGCTGCCTTACAGCTGACAGAGGACACGGATAGGAACAGGCCCAAGAACAAAGGTCTGTGGGACAAGCTCAGAAGTTAAGACTTACGCTGAACATCTAAGATCATACCCTGCCATCATTGCACTAATAAAATTCCAACTTAGATACTGAGATTCTGTATATTAATGATAATTTAACAATTTGACAGTTTTGCTGAAGTTTGATGTTAGAATATTGCATCAACTGAAATCTGTTAGCAATCTAAATAATCCATATAATAATCAAAATGGATATTTAATTTTCATTCATTTTTCACTCTTCTTACATTATCCTTTCAAAAATATAGAAGATAAATTATGAAAAAATGCAAATACTGCTTATCCATTCACTTTTCTTGGTATGTGGCAAGTGATAGTATTCATTTTTGTTCCTATTTTTGTATGACACTTGATTTTAAGATCCAACTAAGTTTCTCAGTGCTACTCACTCCAGCAAATTTTCCTGATTTTCATTCCTGTGTACTCATCTGTGCCATATTGGCACTGCAACTATCCTAACTTTCATTTGTCTGTGGTCTTGAATAGTTATATCCCTCTTTTTAAGTAAGATGTCAATATGTAAGAGGGTTGAAGAGGTGTCACCCATCAGCTTAGCTTTTGGCATTCACATCAACAAGAGTCAACCCATTCAGCACTGGTCGGTAATTTAAAGCTTTAAGTTGCTTTGCCAAATTGAAGGTTACTATCCAATTCAGTTAAATAAAAATTCATCCCTCAGTTGACTAGAGAACCATATTCCACCCTCAGGCAAATAAATTCCAAACCTTTCCTACTCATAAGCATTGTCATAGTAATCCTGTGCAAGTGTTTTTGTTTTAATTTGCTCCAGGCATGCAGAGTGAAGTCCCTGTGTAGGTACAGGAAGGAAACAGAATACTGAACAGTACAAACATGTGAACTTGATTTAGGGTAACCACAAGAAAACCCACAATTTGCTAGACAAACATTTTGACCCTGTTCCTCCTTCAGGGAAGACACTGTGAGTCAAAACATTTATCTACAGGATTTAATTTCTTTAGTCTGATTTACAGTGAGAATTTCTAAATGATGGATTTACTTTCCTTATAAGTCAGTTCAAGCTCACTGCCAATTTTTAAAACATTAAATCCTCAACTGTATTAAGACTACTCATTTTAAAGACGCACACAAACAAATGATGGCCTTTCCATACTAAAATATAATAAAATACCTATAAAAAGACTTTGATGTTTTCTGAATAATATAGCAAATTAAAAGAGAAAACTGCACAGTGAAAGAAAGGTTTACAGCAGCACATTATTCACTAGCCATCATTGTGTGGTCTGGCACTTTCCACGGTGGTAGACACAAACACCTGCCGTATTAACAGGAGTGCCAAGCTGATTATAGATGTTCATTGTGCATAGCTCTAGCCAACAAATGTCCTGGACTGGCTTCTGTCCCAGACAAGGTCAAGGCACTCAGCCATTAAACACCTTTTAACATGTTCTGATATTTAACCCTCTACAAGAAAAGAAAAGGATGAAGAAAAGTGAGTTTGAATTGGTATGAATCTTTAGATTCTGAGTTTATTGTCAATAAAATAACCTGATTTAGATTAAAAGAGCATCCAAAGCATTGCACTCTTGCCCTTCCTTAAATGCACAGGTAAAAATATTCAAGTTACTAAAAGGCATATATGAGATTATTTATGCATATTTTAGCTTTATGGACTAAATTATTATAAACTTAATAATAATAATTTAGAGATCAGCCCAATTTTAAAGTAAACAAAAGGAGGGGGGTTACCACATACTGCACTTTAAGTGCATGCACACTAAGACAACACAAGTCTACATTGTTGGCATGGAGCAACAAGCTCAAGACCAATCATTTGAGATTCAGGGAATGTGTATCTGCTATGCAGAAACCAAACCTGAAGATAACCATGTTGGGATGACAGTCTCCACAGTATATGGGGCTAGCATACATTTAATGGGTTAAAATTCTGGCAAATATGCTCAGAGAGACCATCGACACCAATTTGCTAGGAAGTCTACAGGCAGAATGTAGAGGGGAAGGAGTGATGGCTGCATTCATGGCAACGGTGGCAATTGCTTTTGCAGAGCCATAAAGACACGGATATATAGACCCCACTAGCAATTAATAACACTACATTTTCAGTGCAGTGCACCCAGAAGTTGGTAGAAGTCATGCTTGTGAGGGCATTAGAGAAAACAGTAAGAGAGTCCAATACATTGATCCAAGGACTGGCCCTCAGACCAGTCCCTTGGCCTACTTCAGCTCCTGAAGGTACATGGTTCCTTCAGCTCCAAAATGGTGATAACCTCACTCCCACTGCTCCTCTGCTCATCAGCAGCCTCTGCTTCCCCTGTAGCTGACCCCACCTCTGCAGGGGACTGAGAGGACTCTTCTTGCCTTTGCTCTCACTATGGCCTAGAGACGATCATTTGTCAACATCATCAGGCATTGCACACAGACACACATCAAAGTAAGCCAATTAATTAGCTTAATACTTTAAGCCTATCTTTTTCTCTTCCCATCTCAAAAATATGGAATATTATTGAGATCCTTTTAGACAGAAATGAATCACTAATTTTTGATGCAAAAAATAATTAACTAAACTAATGAACTGTTGAAGCTAGGAACATGAAAGAAAAATTGCAATCTAAATTTGTAAGCATATAAAAATGAGGCCTATAAACGGTATGGAGCTGTAAGCACGGAAGATAATTTTCTATGAATATATGATGGTAAAACCAGCAAAAAACTAGAACTAACAGTAACATTTGTATATATGACAAAGGGATATTTTCTATTGAATGTCAGGATTCCAGTAAGTATCCCTTAAGAAATATAAAGTGAAATGAAAGCATATTTTTGTGACCTGAAGTATAAAATTACTATAAATGAGACGGTTGCCAATGGCTGCGAGTATTACAGAAGGTAATGATATATTAGGCCTCTTAAGACATGTCAGAGTTGTGCATTGCATTGTGGTAATCCAGATAACTAAGCTGGCTTTAAACAAGCAGGTATGTCTCCACGGAGTACCTATCAGGATATTACCTTGGGTCCCAGAGCAATCTAACTGTGTCAGCGTGGTGCTACCTCTGGGCTAATTAGTCCTGGCACAGTGCTGCACTGATAGGATTTTGAAGCTATCTCAGCTGGAGCTAGTTCAGCTATCTCTGCACAGCACTACCTTGCAGACTATTAATACGACCTTAATGTCTGAAAAAACATCTGTTAAAGCAATCACACTCCTCCCGTGCCTGGGATCACTCTTGCTGTGTTATCTCTAGGGCAAGACAGAAACAGGTGGTAGCAGAAATGCCCTCAACACTCTCCCTCTCTTTCTCTCCCTCTCCCCTGCCCCCGCAATTTTCTTGCTAAAACAAGAAGCCTCCAGGAAAAAATAATGCAATGATATTAGCTGAGTTGTGCTGCCTGTATTGATTGATCGCAGTGTCTACAAACAGGATATATATAGCGGAAACACAGGGTGGCTTCCATAGTGCCATTGTCCTTGCGTTACCAGTGAAGTGGGTTGAAGGTAAGTATACCAGAAGCATCAGTGTCACAGTGCTTTCAGGTAACCATTGTTTTTCATTGCAGCCCAGCCTCTGGGGATAGTTTATGAACTTTAGCAAGGCTAAGAAAAGCCACTGACAATTTGTACATGCAATTTGGACTTTGATGTCACATCTCTGCTTTGAGTTGAACAGCTTCTACAGAACTGTTTTTATTGTTCTTGTCCTGTTCAGTAATGCTTAAAGGGGTGTATGTATTTTATGTCATGTCAATTATTTTTCCATTCACATTCATCAGAGTTATATTGATCTTTACCTATAGCGCACTCCCACCTCAATTCTACTCATGGTTAATGAACTCTAATTCCTTAGTAAACTGTAACATCTTGACATCTACAGGCTTCCAAAGGTCTCTAATAAACCCAAATTCAGTTTAGAAATAAGTTTTACATATCTTAATATCATCATAAAATGACTATAGACAACAACATTGGTAATAATTGTTATTGCCTTTTTCTGTCTGCAGGGTCACCATTTTACTGCTGTAAGAATAAATTCTCCAGACACACGTGGTTCCTTCCCTCCCATTTGGCCCACTTTCTGGACACCACTGTATTTTCCTCTCCCAGGTAATCAGCTCTTAGCCTTGTTGGGGGCTGCTCCCAATAGTGCCCTGTCAGAGGGACTGCCAGCATTCCTCCATGTGTAAGTTAGGCTTAGGTTATTCTCTCATTTTCCTAGCTTCCACTGACTCAGGTACCTGAGCACCAAAAGCCTCCCAAAAAATCAGTGTCCTTTACAGACTAATGTTTCATTTTCATCAAAAAAGCCTCCCAAAGATCTTTTTTAAGAAGAACGGGATTATACATGCTTCATCATTTCAAACAGTGTTAATATTCAGCATGTTGTGTTCTTTACAGCCAAAAATGCTCTTCCCTTCTCCCTACAAGAGAAGCAGGATTTTTGTAAATATTTATCTTTAAAAAATACTCATTCTGCTATTT